CCCTCCCCAGTATCCAAGGGCAATGCTTCACCTGCACTTCCCACAATCTAGTCTACTGCATTCGCTGCTCAAATTGTAGTCTCCTCTACATTGGCGAAACGAGACTTAGACTGGGTGATGGCTTCACAGAACATCCAGGTTCTACTCACAAAAAAGACCCCGAGCTACCTGTTGCCCTGCCACTTTAACACACCACCCTGTTCCTTGGCCAACATCTCGGTCTCTGGCTTACTGCAGTGTACCAGCGAAGCTCAACGCAAGCTGGAAGAATAGCACCACCTCATCTTCCGCTTGGGAACCATGCAGCCCTGCGGACTCAATATTGAGTTCAATAATTGAATTAGCCCCCTAGCCCATACACCAGGCCTTGTTATTGCATAACCTATCACTTACACACTACCTATTGTTAGTTACTAACAGTCCCCATTAACAGCTATTTACCCTCCATAGCCACATTGTTATCAACTCCTTTGTCTATCTAACTGCTCTTCTCTCTCTTCGGGCTCTATCCTATCGCTTACTCCCTACCCCATCCCCCTCCCTATTTTCTGCATGTAAACCAACATTTTCCCAGCTGCCATCAGTTCTGAGAAAGGGTCACTGGATCCGAAATGTTAAGTCTGATTTTGTCTTCACGGGTGCTGCCACACCTGCTGAGCTTTTCCAGCAGCTTCTGTTTTTGTTCCTAAATGAAATGTTACTGATGCTAAATTGTTTAATTTTTTGATAATTTATTTAGTCACTTAAGCTAATTCCTTATCCTTTTCATTTCTTTTCAATTCATGCACAAATATAAACGTCATGTATTTCTATGCTTCCGTTCTAATTGTGTACAAATTAAGATTATACTGTTGTAAATATATAATTTTATATGTGTGTATACATCAGTCTACTGCACTTGATAGAATCCTTTCTGTAGACTGTTTCAGGAGCTTATTTTTACAACTTATTATTGCACTTTGTTCCATATTTGATACAGCCGTCTCATCTAAAAATAAACACTGTACTTTAAATCTGCAATAAATACCAACAAACTTTCATTTAACTGACAAATGATACTGCTGTACATTCTTTTGTGGCTACAATGTGATTTACAAGGCTAAAGAGAAACATCTGGTCTGTTATTAATTGTTGTTTAGCTTAGATAGCTAGTGTGAAGTCCAGAATAGCACTAATGAAATGGATTAAATTCCCATTCTAGCTGAGGTAGACTTGTGACCTGTCTCCCCACCCTGCCACTGACAGTGGAAGGTAATGGTAAACCAGTATTGACAAAAACAGCTCATCATGAAGCATCAGTAGATAATGAGTCAAAGACCTACCCTTGGGCAGAGAACTCATGTTTACTAAAGGTATGTGCCTTTTTGGTTGGATTGTTCAGTTGAAAATGTGATTTTATTGGATTATTTTATATTATTTGTTTCACCTAATGTAACAGGATATATCACCAGTATTATTTTAATACTCAGTAAATTTTTCTCCATCTCTCCTCTCTGCAATTCACATAATGAGTTTCTCATAAGTTAAAGTTCCAAGGGTGGATTTTAGTACTTCACTTAATTGGTTGTATAGCAGGTCTGTTTTGTTCCGTTTGCTGGACCAGATTCACTATGGCCAAATGTTGCAGGAGCAATCAGTTTAAAATTAACTTATTCAGCGTGGACCAGGAATCAAACCTGAAGCCTTCCTAGATTGAAATAAAACGTAAGATCCTGGATACACATTAGATAAATCAATAACTGTAAAAGAAAGAAGAGTTGCTGACATTTAGATGTGGGACCATTCATTAATCAATGATCAGAGGCAAAAAACTGCAAATGCTGGAATCCAATGTAGACAAACAGGAGGCCAGAAGAACACAGCAAGCCAGGCAGCATCTGGAGGAAAGGAGAAGCCAACATTTCGGGTAATTACCCTTTTTCAGGACTGGATGTGGGGGTAGGGGGAGCTGCAGATAAAGAGAGAGTGGTGGGAGGAGGGTAGTGGTGATAGGTGGATACCGGTAGTAGGTACAACCTAGTAGATCGGTGGGAGGGATGAATTTGGTTCGTACCTGGAAGGGAGGGTCAGTACTTGGAATGGAAGGGAGGAAGCAGGGCTGGAAAGGGAGCCGGGGGTTGGGTGGGAAGGTTATTTGAAATTAGATTCCTCTGTGTTGAGTCCCCTGGGCAGTAGGGTGCCCAGGCAGAAGATAAGGTGCTGTTCCTCAAATTTGCATTCTGAGTCACTGCGACACTGGAGAAGGCCGAGGACAGACATGCTGTAGGGGGAGTGAAATGGGAGTGTTGAAATGGGCAGTGACCAGGAGGTTAGGCTGGCCGTTACGGGCCAGGTGAAGATGCTCGGTGAAACGGTCACCTAGTCTACATTTGGTTTCACCGATGTCGTCTTGTTATAATACTATATGATTGCTTTGGCTTCACTTACATTAAAGATCTCAAAAATATCCACGGCATTTTCATCATTAAACATAATAACAGGCTACAATTTACATCATGGATAGTTCTCTGACTGATGGAGGTCCATGCAGTTTCAAAACATCAAATAGCATCTTTGGTACCAAAGCTGATCCTGTATTGAGAAATCGTAAGAACTGCAGATGCTAGAGTCAGAGATAGCACAGTGTGGAGCTGGAGGAACACAGCAGGCCAGGCAGCATCAGAGGAGCAGGAGGGTTGATGTTTCAGGTCGGGACCCTTCTTCAGAAATGACAGGGGGGAAGAAATAAATAGAGAGAAGTTAGTAAGGTGGGAGGAGCAGATAGGTGGGAGAGAAGATGGACAGGTTGTGTCAGGTCAAGGGGGTGGGGATGAGGGGAGGGTTGGTCATAGGATGAGGAGGTTTGAAACTGGTAAAATTCACACTTAGGCCATCGGGCTGTAGGCTCCCCAGGCAGAATATGAGGTGCTGCTCCTCCAGTTTGCAGGTGGCGTAACCTTCCACATTAGACGGAGGTTCACCTGCACATCTGTTAATGTGGTCTGTTGCATCCGCTGCCCCTGATGTGGCCTCCTCTACATCGAAGAGATCAAGTGGAGGCTCGGAGACCACTTTGTAGAACACCTGCGCTCTGTTTGTGACAAACAACAACACCTTCTGGTCGCAAACCATTTCAATTCCCACTCCCTTCAGTGTCACAATGAGGCCACCGGCAAACTGGAGGGGCAGCACTCATATTCTGCCTCGGGATCCTACAGCCTAATGGCATAAATGTGGATTTTACCCGTTTCAAAATCTCTTCATCCCATGACCAACCTTCCTTCTCGTCCCCGCCTCCTTGACCTTACACAACCTGTCCATTTTCTCTCCTACCTATCCACTCCTCCCACCTCACTGACCAATCCCCACCACTCCCTACCTGCACTCACCTATCACCATCCCAACCCTGCCCCTCCCATTTATTTCTGAGCTCCATTTCACAACTCCACCCCCACCCATTTCTGAAGAAGGGACCCAACCTGAAACATGAACTTTCCTGCTCCTCTGATGCTGCCAGGCCTGCTGTATTCCTCCAGCTCCACACTGTGTTGATCCTGTATTGACTTCTCATTAATTTGAGAATGCCCTGTCCATTGGCTGAATTACAGATATGCACCTTGAGATCAATACGTAGGGAAGACAGCGTCCGCATGTAATTGTTTTACAAGGGGATGAGTTGAACAAATGACAAAAAAGAAGCACAGTCTTGCAGTTCACAACCAACCCAACCTTTCAACAGTGTGAAAAAGCCTTGGAGACAAAATGGTTATGGAACCAGTCACTCACAACCACTTGGGTGACGCACTGTCATAATTTTCATCCCTTTAACAGCATTAGGTTTAGGACTTCCACCAACAACCAAGAGATTATACTTTCTTTGACTTTTTGCTACTGTGCACCACCTTCTCTACTATGTCAGCAATTGCATACCATATCAAACACCCATCCACCCATCCAGTCTGCATTATATAGTTGTTCAAGGTTAGTTCATCATCATTACTGAACTTTGCACATTTGGTTATGTAACATTTGACAACCTCTCAGCCAAAGTTTGTTCACCAGTAGCCTTTGAATGATGAATCCTATGCATACAGTTAAACATTTGCAAGCAATTTGAGAATACTCTCACTCACAACTAATTTTAAAGTCCTTATGAAATTCTTTTCCATAAGCATTGTCCCTGACATAGGGACTCCCCTCACTACGACATTGTCAGAACCATTCATACAGCAGATTGTCATGGTCAGCATACTTAGTACCATATAGTGTTTTACACTGACCAATTCCTTTAATAGTGTCACTTTCTGCATAGAATACAAATAGTTATTCTTACTGCTTCTTGATGTCATAACCCGTTGAGCCATCCATACCATATGCCACACACATTTTTTTCACTGAAGCATTTTTGTATAGTTTCTTTATGATTTGTACCTTTTGCAAGAATGTAAGCCAACATACTTGCGTTTTGTGCACTTTTCACGGATATTGTTTAAAAAAAATTAGTCTACCCTGAGAATGCTTGGGTCTGTCCAAAAGTACTGCTGCAAAAGGAAGGATGGTGGAAAATAGCATGTAATGAAGAGGATGTGATGATTATGTAGTGTGCAAAAACACAACACAAGGTTACAAAGCCATTCAACTCATGAAGACTTGTGCATCTATAGATCAGGTCTATAAATCATGTCTTCATGATTTAAGGCAGTGCTTGAACAATTGAATGGCGTGTTGATCATTTGCTTGGGCCTGCTCAAAATGTTTCTGAACAACTGGTGTTCTTGAACAATAGAATTCCCTGCTGGAGAGGTTCCCATGTAGTATCACAGAAGCTTTTACATCCACCTGAGAGCGCAGACAGAACGTCAGCTGAATGTTTTATTCAAAATATACATCAGTGCTGCACTGAAGGTAGAGCCTATGTTAAGCGTACAAGTCTCTGAAATGGGGCTGGAACCCAAAATCTTCTGACTCAGTGGTAAAATTTCTACCAGCATGCCAAAGAATAGCAATTACTACATGGTTGAGAGAAGGAAGTTTAATAGTTATTACTTACAATTCTGAATGATAAGGAAATTCCAAATCTAGTATACATTATAGACATAGTATATCTAATAATGATCAAAAAACAGTTCACTGCTTTTCATTTTTAAATTCACATTCAACCAACTGACATTTCAGAACTTAAGATAATCTTTTAAACCAGTAAAATAATAATTTACTAGTTGCTTTAACAATGTTACACACGCAATACTGTGTTAGGTTCATCAGCTGTTGATAACTTCTGTATTCTAACTCATGAGACAAACCTTCTGATGTATAAAGTTTTGCCCAAGTCTGTTGTTGAGTTTTCCTTCGACAATGGCACTGCTTAGTGGTCAGTCAGCAAAACAATTCAGATCGCCAATTAATTAGTGTGATAAAGCCTAATGACCTTTAAACATTTGACAAAAATCTCATGATCCTTCAGCCTTAGCCTTGTGATCTTAAATGAACCATGATTTTTCTATTAATTTTCCTTACTTTAGCGGGTTGAAGATTCAAAGGATCTTCTAAATTGCGTACAAGAACTTGTATTTATACAGCATCTTTTAGACAGGAAACATTTCACAGAAGAAAAGGTAAATATAGGAGTGAAAGAATAGATAACTGGCTCTGGTGCATTAGTTAAGCAAAATTACAGATGATCTGTCCAGAAACAGGAATTTTGAGGATAGTTTTCAAATAGAAGTGTGTAATGGAGAGGTTTAGAAGCAATTATCATGGAGAGGGTTGAGATGATTGAAAGTTTGCTACTATTAGTGGAACAAAAAAATGATGAGATGAACGGAAGACCAACACTTTAGGGGCTAAAGAATGCAGCATGAAACATTAAGCAGAAAGTAAAAATATAGAAGAAAAGTGGGCAAAGCCATGGAAAAGGAATGGTGAGACTTATGCAGCACAATGTAGAAGTAGGAGGGCAGTATTTATGGAAAGAAAAGCAGAGTTAACATTTCAGATGGATGACCTTTCATCACCAGGGCTTTTAAGCTTATGAGGATGATAGTCTGATAAGGGAAATGTTAGAGAAATTGTGTCTAAAGATGAGTAATAAAGTGAGATAGGGTTTTAGCTGCAGTGGGAATGATGTATGAGGAGTTGCAGGTAATACTGAGAGATGGAAATTAGTGGCTTCGTAAACAGGTAGGATATTGCATTTGAAACCAGCTTTAGAAAAAAAGAATTCCAAGGATTTACAAGGTATAATTAACCCAAAGAAACTGATACAACTTGAGGGTTACATGGATGGATGGAGCAAAAGTGTCTGTTGAAGGACAGAAGAAAGATATGCATTCATTCAGTGCTTTTTTACAAAATCAGGCCCTCCCAAAGCACTTACAGCTAATGAAGTACCTTTGAAATATTACCATTGTAAAACAAGAAATGCGGCATGAAGTTGCAGACAGCAATATCTTACAAATAGCAAATGGCTAGGTGAGCAGATGTTTTGCTGGTATCGGTTAAAGAATAAATATTGACCAGTGCAAGGGAGTGAAGTCAGACATTGCCAAAAAAATTTTCCACAGAACCACAGACTTGTTACAGTTGCAGAAGCCGGCCATTCAGCCCATCATGTCTGCAACGGCTGTCAAACGAGAATCATGACTTAGCACACTCAACCTTTTTCCCACGCCCTTGCATAGTGTTTCTATTCAACTAATCATTTAATATTATTTAGAATGCCTCAATTGAACATGCCTCCACCACACTCCCAGGCAGTGCATGCCAGACACCCAAACCACTTGTGTGAAATGTTTTTTTTACATCACATTTGCTTCTTTTGGAAATCCCTCTAAATCTGTGCCTTCTCATTTTTGATCGTTTTATGCATGAGAACAGTTTTTTTCCTATGTACTCAATACAAATCTTTCATAATTTTGAAAACTTCTCTTCAAGGAGAACCATCCCAAGATCTCTAAAATATCCTCATAACTGAAGTTTCTCAAAACTTTTCTTCCTTTAAATGCCTTGAGATTACATTTAGTGCGCAAAGAAGTGGCAGATAGAATACAGTCTGGGAAAGTGTGAGGTTATGCACTTTGGTTGAGTAGAATCGAGGTGTAGACTATTTTCTAAATGGGGAAAGGCTTTAGAAATATGAAGCAGAAAGGGATTTAGAAGACCCAGTTCAGGATTCTCTTAAGGTTAACATGCAGGTTCAGTTGGCAGTTAGGAAGGCAAATGCAATGTTAGCATTCATTCTGAAAGATTAGAATACAAATAAGGACGGGGATTTACTGCTGAGGCTGTATGAGGCTCTGGTCATATCGCATTCAGAATATTATGTAGTTTTGGGCTCCTATCGAAGGAAGGATGTGCTGACTTTGGAGGGAGTCCAGAGGAGGTTTACAAGAACGATGCTGGGAATGAAGGTTTGTCATATGAGGAGCGGTTGAGGACTCTGGATCTGTACTCAGTGGAGTGTAGAAGGATGAGAGGCGATCCCATTGAAACTTAGAGAAACTGAGAGGCCTGGACGTGGAGAAGATGTTTCCACTAGTAGGAAAGACTAAGACCTGAGGCCACAGCTTCAGAGAAGGCATGACCCTTTAGAACTGAGATAAGGAGGAATTTCTTCAGCCAGAGAGTGGCAAACCTGTGTAACTCCTAGCCACAGAAGGCTATGGAAGCCAAGTAACTAAATGTATTTAAAACAGAGCTAGATATGATCTTGATTAATAAGACGATCAAGAGTCATGGGAGGAAGCAGGAGAATAGGGTTGAGAAACATATCAGCCGTGATTCAATGGTGGAGCAGACCGATAGGCTGAATGGCCTAATGCTGCTCCTATATCTTATGGTATTATGGGTTTGAATCGCACCATGGCAGATGAAATATTAATTTGAATTCAAGTTTTAAAAAAAACGATGGGATCAACAATGGCAACCATGTAATCATTGTCAATTGTCAAAAAAAAACAAAATCACATTCACTAATATCCTTTAGGGAAGGAAACCTGCCATCTTTACCTGATCTGGCCTATGTGTGACTCCAGATCTAGCAAGAAGATTGACTCAACTGCTCTCTGGGCAATTAGGAAAGGGCAACAAATGCTGGCTTAACCAGTGACACCCACATCCAATAATTTAAAGAATCAGCAACAAATGCTGGCCATGCCAGCAATGCCCACATGCCATGAAAGAATAAAAGAGATGTTAGAATGAAGTGGTGAGGGTCATAAAACGACAGGAGATCTTACTTAGACAAATGGAGGCTGGAAGAACACAGCAAGTCAGGCAGCATCTGGAGAAAGGAGCAGTCAACGTTTCAGGTATTACCCTTCTTCAGGACTCCCAGCCCTGAAGAAAGGGAATACCCAAAACGTTGACGGCTCCTTTCCTCCAGATGCTGCCTGGCTTGCTGTGTTCTTCCAGCCTCTTGTTTGTCCACCTTGGATTCCAGCATCTGCAGGAGATCTTACTTGACTAAAGTCAGAAGTCACACAATACCAGGTTATAATCCAACAGGTTTATTTGAAATCATGAGCTTTCAGACTGCTGTTCCTTTGTCAGGTAAAGTCTGGGGATGAACGTGACTGTAGTTCAAAACCATTGAAGCAGGGTATTAGAAATCAAGATGGCAGGCCTTAAAACATCAGAAAACATAGGAGTTGCAGGGAGGTCTGGAGGTTAAAAGCAATTTAGAGGGTTTCTTAGCCAAATATGAATCAAAGGAGCCCATGGAATATTTTACCTTAGAGAATAGCTGGAACACTGAAGAGAAAACAAAGTGAATTCTAGAGGGTTGATATATACACTTGTTTGCTCACAGGAAAAATTAATAAACATTCAAGATTTTACGAGTTAGGGAAATTTGTGCAGGAGGAACTGAAAAATAGTTTAAAGAAAAGTCTTTATAAGCTGTCATGTTGTATTAGTAGTGTTTACTTTGTTTAATTCTTTTAGATATACAACCAAGTTTATTTTTGCTTAAAAACAAGAAATCTTGTGTAGTTCTGTGGTTAACTGGTGGGCATTCATGTTTCTCCTTTCAACTTTAATAGTCACTAACACGATCATAAAATTGAGAAGGACTTCATGATGATTACCTTAAAGTTTTGTTGGCATTACATTAGTTATTGGTCATCATTTATACCTTTGATTGTTTCTGCAAATCAAACTCCTTATTGAGTAATCCAAGTAACAGCAAGTTCCAGAATTATTTTGAAGATTGTGGAAGGTACTACATTTTTAAAGATAGGTTTTTGCTGTCCAGAAGAACACAATGCCCATGATAAGAATTTTCCTTAATTATAATCAAATGTTACATTTATTGTAACACTGTTAACTCAAATGTTGTCAAAGAGTTGTCCATAACCTTCATTTTTCCTTCGGAAGTAAGATCCTGTTTTCTCAGATGCTCAATTAGCTGTTCCATTTTTTTAAGCTTTGCTGCAGTTCCCTGCTCTTGTTGCTGAAGTTTTTTAATCTTCTCTTGTAATCTGAAAATCTTTTCCCAGAGTTGGGCCTTACCAGTATCCTGTCTACAATATGAATGCTCAACTTGTAGAACATTTTCAGGGACTATGGGTTGCTGATCACTAAACAGTTGGTTTGTTTCAAGCTCTTTTATTGTTGTGAAGGGTTCAGTTGATGTGATGTTGAAAGGTTGTTCTGGATTTCCATGTGACTCAGATGCAGTGTTAACTTCTGAATTCCTTTGGGATTGCTCATCACGCTCTGCACTAGGAACTGATGATTCTAGTCTTTCTTTGGTTGGTTTTTCATCTCTTGCAGCAGGAACAAAGATTTGTGGGTTTGTTTCTGATGCTTCTTTTGGAAAATTATTTTTCCTACGAATATATCGAGAACACAGTTTTTTCTTCTGAAAGATAAAGTTTTGGCTTTTTATTTGATAAAATGGACATTTATTGCATTATAACGTCCCGAACCCCACTTCAAAGTCAGAGCTAATCTTACCTGCTGATGATTTGGAAATGAGAAAACAGTTGGTATAGATTGCGGCTTCAAATAACGGATACCCCAGCGCCATTCAAATGAATCTGCAGTAAAATGTTCACTACATATGCATTGATGCTTAGTGGGGAACCAGTTGTCACGCTTTATATTTTTGATCCATTTGTTAAGTCTTTCTTTGTTTTGCAATGGAAACCTTTTTTTAAAGAGAAAACAAAATATATTTGTTACATTAAAGGTTTATGCATACTGTATTGTGAAGTTTATTCTTGAGCTGCTTAGTATTAAGTTAGGCTTAATATTTAGCAATATTTAGATATGTACTCCTAAACCTGCTCATTAATCTCTCTTCTACATACTCTGAGCCAGCATTAGGGTGGTAAATTTATATTTGTAAAAGATTAACTTTCTAAATTAGTATAACTGAAATACAAATTCTGTCTTTAATGTGTATGAATTCAAGGCTGTGTAAATATGTTAGTATTATTGTTGGTTCTAACATATTCCTGTGAATCAAAACCTAAGGGGCTGGGTAATAGGACTGTCCTTTTGGAAATGTTTAATAAATCAGTTGGATTGTATCCTCATGCAAAATGAAGCCGACTTAAATAATACTTCTTAAAACTTGTTATCATAAATACATACATTTCTTAATAAAATCTTTTACTTTTGTGATGCAAGTTACATAGTTTTTATTTTCCAAATGGGTGGTACTTGATTCCAGGAGTCTCTGACATTGTAGCCTATGTGGATTGACTTATGGCATATCCTGGTGCTTGACTATGACATGGAACAACTTAAGTGATATGCTACGGTCTGCTTGTGCCATTGCAGTGCTGTGCCCTGTTGACCATCACAGTGAAATCTAATGTTACATTTTCCATTTACTGTCAATTACTGTCCAGTTTCAATCTTCAAAGTAACAATAGTCTGTTGACGGTTATGTATGTGCATGAAGGTCAGAATAAGATCACTTGCTTTTCTTTCTGGTCTAACTGGAAGAAAGCTTGGTCACCCAGTGAGATACAAAAAAGCTGCCAACATCTGTGTAACATTACTCCAGTGTGAGCTACTGCTTTCTGTAAATGGGGATAGAGATTAAAATGACAAGTGATATACATGTGGAACATTACAGAGTCATAGTCATAGAGGTATACAGCAAGAAAACAGGCCCTTCGGCCATGGGGACTAGATATCCTTAATTAATCAAGTCCCATTTGCCAGCATTTAGCTCATATCCATCTAAACCCTTCCTATTCATATATCCATCCAGATGTCTCTTAAATGTTGTAATTGTACCAGCCTCCACCACTTCCTCTAGCAGCTCGTTCCATACTTGCAGCACCCTCTGCTTGAAAAGATTGCCCCTTAAGTCCCTTTTAAATCTTTCCCCTCTCGTCTTAAATCTATGCCATCTAGTTTTGGACTCCCCTACCCTGGGTAAAAGACCATGGCTGCTCACCCAATCCATGCCCCTCACGATTTTATAGAGTTCTATAAGGTCACCCTCAGCGTCCGATGCTCCAGGGAAAATAGCTCCAGTCTATTCAACCACTCCCTGTAGCTCAAACCCGCTGACCCTGGCAATATCCTTGTAAATCTTTTCTTAACCCTTTCGAATTTCACAACATCTTTTCCTATAGTGATCCAAGATGGAGGACGGGAGAAATTTGTGGCTGTAAGTGCTGCTCCTTTTTTCAGTTGTTTACAGTGTTGGAGCTCATTTCCTCAAATTCTTGGAACAGTAATTATAAGCTGTTGCATTGTTTTGTAACTTTGGGGAAAAAAAATTCAAATCAAAGGTACTTTTTAAAGTGGGATGAAGTGAGACAGCAGGTACCATGTGGGAGGTGAAAAAAGGAGCAGTGAACTTGCACAGCTGCCTATACTGTTTAGTAACAAATATCCCTGGATCATCAGAGTTTGGACTGAGAGAAAAATTAGCTTTTACTACAAAATGTGCAGTTTTCTTTTTAATTACAATGAATCATGGCAATAAGATCCCAATTCTTTCCGCCCATTTTCTATTACAAGATATCTTCGATTTATGTTTTTTGACATAGAAGATTAAAGTCTGCTTCAACACTGGAGCCCCCCAAGGATGCATCCTCAGCCCACTGCTTTACTCCCTTTACACCTATGACTGTGTTGACAAATTCCAAATGAATGCTATCTACAAGTTCACTGACGACACCACCATAATGGGACGGATATCTAACAATGAAGAGTCAAACTACAGAAGGGAGATAGAGGGCTTGGTGACATGGTGCAATGAAAACAATCTGTCTGTCAACATCGGCAAAACTGAACATTGACTTCAGAAAGAAAGGAGAACACGCCCCCATCTACATCAACGGAACAGAGGTTGAGAGGGTGAAGAGCATGAAGTTCCTTGGAGTGACAATAACTGAAACCTGTCCTGGACTTCCCACGTAGATGCAACAGTCAAGAAGGCACAACAACACCTCTTCTTCCTCAGGCAGCTCAGGAAATTTGGCGTGTCCATAAGGTCCCTCACCAACTTTTACAAATTCACCACTGAAAGCATACTGTCCAGGTGCATAATGGCCTGGTATGGCAACTGCTCTGCCCAGGACCATAAGAAACTACAGAAGATTGTGTGCACAGCCCAGACCAACATAGAAGCCAACCTTCCATCCATGGACTCCATTTACACAGCTCGCTGCCACAGAAAGGCTACCAACGTCATCAAAGAGCCATCGCACCCCGGTAATAATCTCCTACAACCTCTTCCGTCAGGCATAAGATAAAGAAGCCTGAACCCACGCACGAGCAAGTTTGGGAACAGCTTCTTCCCGGCTGTTATCAGACGATGAATGGACTCTCTAGCCTCAAATAACGCTGATCTTGCTAACGTTGATCTCGTCTAGCGCACGCCCTGTGCAATGTAACCTGTATGCCTCTGTCTAAGTCTTTATGATCTGTATATCTTTTGCTTACTGTGATCTGCCTGTACCACTCGTAAACAAAGCTTTTCACTGTATTTTGGTACATGTGACAATAAATAAATCAATCAATCAATACTAATACAGTGACTAAACAACAGCAGTCAGAACAAACAATGAACACAGAGAATGGATAGCTAAAAGAAAAGTTGGACAAGGTTGTTTTCTGTTTCCAGAACTTTCCAGTCTTTATAGTGAAATTTGGAACAATATTGACCCCATTACTTGAGAAGGGATGTAGTTGCATTGAAGGCAGTTCAGAGGAGATTGATGAAATTGAATCCACAGATGGGGGAGTTTATCTTATGAAGACAGATTGAGCAGTCAGGCCTATATTCTCTGGAGTTTAGAAGAATGAGAAGAGATCTAATTGAGGGATATAAGATGCTATAGAGGATCTACAAAGTGGATATAGAAAGGATGTTTCTTCGTGTGAGCAATCTAGAACAAGATGTCATATTTTAGGATAAGGGATAGTTGATTTAAAACAGATGAGGAGAAATTACTTCTCTAAGGGTCATATATTTGTGACCCTAAATTGTGGCTAGGACATTGAGTAAATTTAAGGAGAATATACCAGATTTTTAATCAGTAATGGGTTGAAGGGTGATGGAGAGTGGGCAGGAAAGTGGAGTTGAGGCCAAGATGAGATCAGCCACGATTGAATTAAATGGCAGAGCAGGCTCAAAGGGCTGAATTGCCAACTCCTGCTTCTAGTTGTTAAAGTCTTATGAAATGACTACAGAGCATCTATAGGAGTTTTTAAAATTTATTTATGGGAAGTGGATGTCACTGGCTGGGCCAGCGTTTATTGCCCATCACTAATTGCCATTGAAAGATTAAAGGTGAACAGTCTTCTTAAATGCCGCAGTCTGTTTGGTGCAGGTAAACCAACAATGCAGTTAAGGAGAGAATTCCAAGATTTTGACCCAGGGTATCACCAGGAATTTCAATAATTGGAACAAATATAAATAATCTGAGATAAGCAGATTACACAATAATTATAGCAGATGTGAAGGAAAGTCTACAGACTTCTAGATGCAATTGTAATAGTAACAGATATGGATTATCATTAATCTATGTAAAAAGGATTATTTCTAAATGCAAAATATTAGTGAAATCAAAATAAATGAAACAAGTAGAATTTTTGTTCTATTTGGGTGGCTTAATTTTGATGGGAAAAGAGATGAAGACATCAGGAAGCATATAACATTTGCAAAACAAAAATGAGACCTCTTAGAATATGAGCACCTCCATAGAAAAATGAGATGGCCAAGATGCTTCCCGTGTGTAACGTTTTCATATGGATTTGAAATTGAAATATAAACAAGATAATAGAGTGGATGTCAGTTCTGAGCCATTTAAGAATTACTTGGACCACACACAGGTAACGAGGAATCTTTGAGGAAAAGCAGGCACACAAGAAGAACTTTTGTAGGTGATCACCAAAGGACAATTACAATTGTTTGGGTACATATTTAGAAGAGAGAAGCTGGAACATCTGGGAGTCCAGTACTTGTAAGCAACAGAATTAATGTTCCATCATGCTGCTGTGCTGCTCTTATCAGATTTCATGTGGCAGCAGGGCATTCACTGTGTGCATGCCATGCATGTGTGCATTGGTTGTACACAGGAGTCAATGGCTCATAGATAGCTCTTATTATCTAGCAGCCACCCTTTGGTTTTAGATGTTGGCTCAATGCAACTAGCACAGCAAACCGATGCAGAATAAAGATCTCATAGCCACTGCCAGACTATCAAGTGTTGACCTGAATGTTACACTGCCTATGTATGATCACATACTTGACGGTCATTGAGGTTGTGTAATTTATTATTGTTCCAGTATAGGGCAAAGTTGACATGCTGTGTCCACAAAGTGTTGTGCTTTCTTTAAGTGACACCCTGCATCATGGTGAAGCCTATAACCCTAACAAATCATGATGCTTGCCTTTGGCAAAAGGGAATGAAACATATTTATTTAGCTGTCATTAAATTGACAGTTTCAGTGACTTCCCTTATGCAACAGTGGATACCAAACTGTAAGATGCCATATCTTTACCATTAGCCTGAAGGGAGTCAGATGCATTAAAGCTTCTCACGAAGATCACCTTCATTGCCACTGACAATGTATTCTTTGTCCTGGTCTGAGGTTGCAGTTGTGAATGCAGCACATGGCAAATTTCAGTGAGAACATCTTCTGCTGTTCAAATATTGAACTGCGAGAAGTTGACTGGGGCGTTAATCTTCAAACTGTTGCATGCTGTTTGACATCATAATTTCTCTGACTTGCACAATTATAGCAGTGATTGCCTGCATGTAAGCTAACTTTTACACCAATACAGTATCTGTCATAATGCTGTGGAGGCCATAGTGGAGCCCTAAGGGCACACAGCACATGTATAAAAGACAAATCTAATTCTTACAGTTTCATTTTTCAATTTATGGCAGTTGACTATGAAGTGAATGAGGATCTAAGTGACATTGGTAGGGTTTTCACTTTGTGGTAATGTTAGTATGTCCTGCAGAAGCTTATCTTACACTGTTGGCTCTTCTAGTTATGCTAGCACTGCAGCCAGCACAAACAACTTCAGAACGTAGTTCAAAACATATCACTTTATATTCCCTCTGATTTCTATGATCTGGCCTCTGGATCTGCTATTTCTTTGTTCTGCCACTTTGCTTGGGATTTCACACCTTATTCTGATTATGACACACTTATTTTCTCATCTCTGTCCATCACTGCCTCTGTTAGCAATGAATTTTTGAGCTATCCTCTTTGCAATTTGTCTTGGCTATATGATCTCTTCCATCACAACTCCTACATTTCCTCATCCTACTGGATTTTGAGTCTCAGTCAGCCAATCAACTGGGCCATCTGCTCCCCATGCTCCCCATGTCCTGACCAGATACGACCCCTTTCTACCATCTTTTCCCACTCCTGATTTGAAAGAATGTATATGTTGTATGACTTTGCTCATGTCTTGGCTGTCAAAATCTTTATCTGTGATATTATTACCTCCAGAATCAACTATTGCAATGCACATTGGGCAGCTTCCTATATTCTAGTCACCTTAAACTTGACATAATCCAACATTTTCTTCTTGAGCGCTGATTCTTACTAAATCCCATTCATCCATCAACCCTTTATTACTCAACTACACTGGTGCTTGTTTAAGCGAGGCCTTGATTTTAAATGTCTTAATACTTCTTTTCAAAGCCTCCATGACTTGAGTTCAACCTTTTCTCTAACATCTCACCTCCAAGATGTTTGTCTTTCTCCAAATCTGACCTCTTGAGCATTCCACATTCACCAGAGGCACACTGACGATGTTACCTAGCAGGGTGATGAAACATTTGCAACCAAACCCACCAGCTCTGTGAGCATGTCGACAACCTCATTTGTGGCTATATCTTCAGCTGTCACAGCCTTAAGCTCAGGAATTCCTCAATAAACCTCTCTATCGTCCTTCAAGGTATATCTTACAGCTATCTCTGTGATTAGACTTTTTGTTATCTATCTGACATATGGCTTGGTGTGAAATTTTGTTCATGTTCTTGAGAATATGTTGCACCTTTGACGAAGAATAAGTACAAGCTACTGTTATATACTGGGAAAGTTAGTTGGATCAAAAACAAAGTTGCTGGAAAAACTCAGCAGGTCTGGCAGCATCTGTGGAGGAGAAAACAGAGTTAACGTTTCGGGTCCGGTGACCCTTCCTCAGAAAGTTAGTTGGAATTTGGAACTTGAGTTCTGTTCCCAGCTGATAGACTTTCTTCTGCTACCTCCTTTGTCTGCTCTCTTGCTGTTCCCCATACCTTGCATCCTCACCTCTTTTGTGCTTGTACTTTACTGTGTTCTTCTGCAATCTTTTTTTGCTGTTCCTACCTCTAACCCTTGTTCCTTCATATGGTGCTATCTGACTAACTTCCCTGCTATTGCCTTGAATGCCCACTCCTCCTCATACAAACATTCACGTGTAGATCTCCAGCCCCCAAATCCCACCAATACTCAATAAAAAAAATTGACATATGTTGTTCAGATTATCGATAATATTATTCATTACAAAGCAAGGGACAATGACCGTGGCATTGCTGACAAGGCAATCTGCTAATGCATGGATGCATTTGGATCAACCTTGTAATTCCTACTTTTTCAGTGCATGCATTACTCGAAAAGTGTTAGCTTTCTTTCCTTTTAGACTTTAATAAAACAAAGTTGCCGTATCTTAATTACTGGTTCTTAATTGTTCTTCTGAAGCTTGGTGTTGTTATGTGCGTTGGACCTTAGGATTCTTGATTTTCAGTGGCACCGTGGACGGTGATGTTTCAGCCTTTTTCTACTTACGGGTAGAAGCCCAACTTCTGATTATCAGATGACAACTGGCCACTTCGATTAGAGCAGCGGGCAACCGCGCAATACCTAGGCATTTCTTTGCGACAGAACCAAGGTAGTGGCGAGCAGCGGAACGCGCAGGAACCCTGAATGCGGAAGTGAAATCACAAAGAACGCTGTATCGAGCTGGATCAGCGACGCGACGTGGAGGCAGCCAATAAGTGAGTGATTCGTGGTGGAAGGGGTTCTAGAACGCGGTGTAACAGTTCAGGGTGTTTCCTGCTGCTGTGTGCGGTCCGGGAAAGGCTACTACTGGTGAGTGCTTCTGGCAAATGGACTAGGCCTTATTCCAGATTTCCCCGCACAGTCGATCCTGCTGCTATCTAAGTGTATTCAAAATCGGTTTCGCTTTGTTTGTATTTCCCTTCAGGTTTTTATTTTAAATGCGTTTTACTGCTTTCATATTTGTGAGTCGTACAAGTGTTCGCTTTCGTGTGCTTTCCCTCCTATGCGTAAGACTGTTGTAAGAAAACCTTGGTAATGGATAGTGGCGAATTTGCACGGCTGGCATCAGGCTTGTAGTCAGGTTCTGAAGGTCATTTCTGAAGAAGGGTCTAGGCCCGAAACGTCAGCCTTCCTGCTCCTCTGATGCTGCTTGGCCTGCTGTGTTCATCCAGCTCTACACCTTGTTATCTCTTGTAGTCAGGTTGAGCGTGCCGCCACATCAGCTGAGTAATAAAGTGGGTTCCGTGGCATCATCAGGTTATGCTGCTGAAAAGTGCAGCTTTTCTGTTTGCCAGTCATTTCGCGACATGAAATGTGAAGAAAATTAACTCTAAAAGCACTTTCTGTCTCCTCCTTTGGTTAAAATCTTTTAGTTTCTGAAGGTAATGGGAGTTATTGCCAAATTTCACTCTATACTTCTGCAAAGAAATTAACTCACCTTCACCGAAGCCCCAAACAAAACGTGTGGAGCGCCCACTGACCTTTGGTTCTTTGATTGAAATGTGTTTTTTTTTTATTTGCATTTTATGGATGTCATATTGTATTCGACGGCCTTCGCTTGCAACAAACAGACTCGATTCTGTCAATACAATGATCAGTTACAAAACAGGTTGAGATTTTAGCACTACACAGAAGATGTATTTGTTTTAAATTGTGCCCTTTGTATAGTCGTCAAAATGTTACCGAGGTCGCCGTACTTGCTTTTAAACCAATGCAGACTACTGAAACCAATTAGATTGAGTTGCCAGTGATTTATTCAGGGTGTAGGTGAAAGTCTGCTGATGTTTTGAGAGGTAGATGTGTAACTGACAGAATACTGGTACAAATGTGAACAACTTTTTTTTAATTAAATACTGTCTGGGAGCTTTTTACTGTCCAAAGATCCAAAAGCATCATCAGGCCCAGCAGAGCCTTCTTGGGATAAATAGGGATATGCAATGACTTGTAGCCTTTTCAGTATTTCCTGAAACCAGTTGGAGAATGCAAAGTAGAAAAATCAACGAAATCGCTTTCCCCTCATTGAGAAGAGACACCACATTGTTATTCAATAGAACTATGTATGCCGTGCAGTCTGTCATAACAGCATTTCACTTTGAATTATATTAGTCAGTACCAACCCTAGTAAAAAATACTGCTGTACCAGAGGTTGCTACAAAAATGCTAAAAATTGAACTGAAAAAGTTTTCTGGGACAAGTGGTAAAGCATGAAAGTTCTTTCACAGACAATGTACTTATAGTATTTCTGTGATTGGGCTAGTGATTGTTCTTTGGAATTCTGTAGGTTAATGATGTATGTGGCTTACTTTAAAGTAGATGCTGCATTCGCCATAGTTAAGCTTGCAGTCAAGATCATTCTGACTTTGACACAAATGAATGTGTACAAGGAAATGTACAAGTGAATGTTGCATTTCTATTTATGACATTTGGGAATTTCTTGGAAATAGGTAGTATAAGTGACATCTTTAGAAGGTAACTTGCAAGTAACTGATATCTGCTGAAATATTGGTACTTGTGAATTTCCTTTAATAATTTGAAAACTTCCAAGGTGCATTCCGTCAAAACCCTGGGGCACTTGTTAACACAGCTTCGTCCCTCCCTTGCATAAGTGTACTACATAAAAATCTGAACTGTAGATGCTGGAAATTAGAAACAAAAACAGAAATTGCTGAGAAAACTCAGCAGGTCTGACAGCATCTGAAGAATTATCGCTGGACCTGAAATGTTGACTCTGATTTTTTTCCACATGTAGACTAGTACTAGATTGACATAAATTTAGGCTTAAAAATGTAGGGCAAGGTCCCGTGATATTGCAGTTTTGAGAGTCCGATAGCAATTTTCATTTAAAATTTTTTTTTTTTTTACAAGAGAAGTCTGCACGATGCTTAACCAGGGTGGTCAAATGCTGCTGTGTACTTCGCCTCCCACTGTTAACCTTATTTTGTGCTTTGTTTAATTTTCCAAATGCAAATGAGTCTCCCAAGAAATTTAACGTGTATATTCAGATTGGTATGGAAGGCAATATAAATGAGATTGTGGAAATTCTAAGCCTTACTGAAGAGGATCTCTGCTGTACTGAAGTTTGGAATATTTGAGATACACATACTTACAGCATAGTGTTAATGTATATCTTTGTATTTTCTAGGAAATATTGACAATGGCAGCAGCACACTCTGTTTTTGCTTTTGCTGTCTGTTTTCTAATGATATCTGAATTTATACTGGCAAAGAAGGATTATTATGAAATTTTGGGTGTGCCAAAAAATTCATCTGACCGTCAAATTAAGAAAGCATTTCACAAGCTTGCAATGAAATACCATCCAGATAAAAATAAAAGTCCAGATGCAGAGACAAAGTTCAGAGAAATTGCTGAAGGTAAGTGCGTTAGACTTCTATGAGATTATTCTGATTGGTCTGTCTATGTTTCTATAGTTTCAGGTTATTGGAAAGACTACAGCTATTTTCTTTAGCTCCTACCATAAATATTACCTTTTACTAGTTCGACAATTCTCCTTTTCAGCCACTATCTCAAGCTGCACCAGACTTTTCAAGATTTTGGCATCTTAATAGTGAATCAAGCATCTGACTTTGACAAGAGGGGGGTTGTGAGAAAGCTTATGTGCACCATTGTAATTTACCACATTATCTACCTCTTCCTGAACCCTTCTTCCATGTCTTTAGTCATCTCCAAGCATGAAATCTTCAGTGATCTTCTAACCGGTTTTTGCATCGTCCTCCTCTTTATAAGCTATAGTTCATATCCTGCTGTATTTGTCCCATTCTAGGACCTGCTTCCTTTTCTTGTCCTTATTGATCTACTTCAGCTACTAGTTCCCCGATGCATCCATTTAAAAATGATTGTCCTTGTACCTGAGTTTGAATCTTTTAGCAGCTTTATTCATATCTCTTGTAACCTGGCAGCTAACCTTCACCTCCCCGACGTGCACATGCACACACCCTACCCAAACATGATTTCTTCGAGTCATTTCAACTCACTGTTGTTGGCTGTGCCTTTGGCAGCTTAATCTCATGCTATGAAATTCTCTTGCTTAGTAACTTTGTTTTCCTCTCTTCCCTTTTAACACCTTCCTTCAAATCTACGTCTTTCAGCAATAATTTGGTCACCTTTAAAATTGCTTTCTTTAGTACATTGCTGTTTGTTATTGTGACTTGTCTGCTTTAGATAAGACTAGCATTTTGTTTTACAGCATATGAAGTCCTTTCAGATGAGAAGAAAAGGAAAGAGTACGATCACATGGGTCATCAATTTTTTAATGCAGGCAATGGTGCCCAACATGCCCATTCTTTCAATTTCAACTTTGATGACTTCCTTAAAGATTTTGACTTTGATTTAGGCCACAGAACTCATCACAAAAAACATTTTGATAGTCACTTCAGGGCACAGCAGGAGGGCCACAATGCACACAGATTTGCCTTTGGAGATAGGCAGTTTCCTTTTGGAGGTGGATTGTTCGATGATGTGTTTGAAGACATGGAGAAGATGTTCTCATTCAGCAGTTTTGGCAGCACACACAAACACACAGTGAGAACTGAGAAGTTCCAAAGCTCTAGCAAGCAGCACTGCAAGACTGTTACACAGCGCAGAGGAAACATGGTGACCACATACACAGACTGTTCAGTGCCATAAACTTGCTAAATGTACATAATCATATCAGCATGGTTTGCTTGACATCTTTGTCATGGCATGTTCCTGGGCAGAAGTGTCAAGAAAGGCAATATGAGTTGAGTTGCACGAAAAAAGCTTTCCTCTCCATCTTTGTAAACCTTCCAGACATTTATTGGGTGCAATGGGCTAATTTCAGCTAGAAACTGTATTTAGCCTTTACAGTCACCATTTTCTAGCTTAGTAATTTCAAGCATATGTTTAATAAATACAAAGCAATAGTAATGATGTATGAGCTAGCACAGGAGGTAAACCAACAGGTTTGGGTAATATAATGGCGAAACAGGTTATTCTGTAACATGTTATGCTTTACGCGGTTTATGCATTTGTTTAATCCTAATGTTCAAAATTTGTTTAACTTCATTTGAGGACAGATCTTGCATCTTGCCATGGCTAATGAAGGCAGAATGCTGTACTCTGATAGCTAATCTTACAAGATTATCTATCAATTTCCTTAATACAATCTACATGGTATCCTACAATTCATCGTAATTCAATTTCAACAGTATGAGTGATAAGTCCATGCCTTATTTATTGCTTTGGTTTTTCTGTTTAGCTGGCTTTGTAGTTGAATAAGATGTTGGACTTTGGTTTAAAAGAAGGTTGTGAAAAGCACACTTAACAAGGCTTAGCTCCAAGTTCAAACCAGAATTGTAACACTGTATACTTTGTGTTGGTGTGGAGATTCTCAAAATTTAATTAAAGTTTGTTAATGTCTGTGTAGATATTGTGATATATAGTTGAAGACAAATATTTAAAAGCTTAATTCCTGCAAAATTTATCAAAATGCAGGGTTCATAATTCTATTTGGTGCTACGTAAGGTTGCTTTATTAATCTAGTGCTTTGAATTATTTTTAAACTGTCCCTAAACCACCATGGGTTAAGTGATAAAAGCATTTTCTAAATTCTTTACAACTATAAAAATCTACTTTTGAAATGTGATACATGAGGAAAAGCACCAGACCTTAGTTCCTTTTGGATTTCTGTAACATTCAGCAATTAACATTGCAAGACTAACAGAATTAAATGTTTTCTAAATGATAATGATTAATTATTCTCCACTAACCTATACTCTGGGTATTCCACAAATTTGTATCTTTCATATTCCACACAATTCATTTTTTTGTTATATTCTGATCACTTGTTTATCTTGCCATATGTCTCTCTCTCCTGTCTTTTTTGATTATTGTAAAGTTTGTAAGATCTGATTACCTCATTTCATTGTCTTAAAATTGCAGGTAAAGCACTGCGTACTGTCATATGTGCAATATTATTATACAGATTTGTTTTTGCATTGCGGATGTGTAGACTCCGTTAGTTTATTAAAATTTGTGAAACCTGTGTCCAGAATGACTTG